ACCTCTTATGGGCGATAATGATTAGCTGTATCTGGCTAAACATGCTGAATAGATCAATATAAGCTTCACATGCCAGTATCTAAGTTTCACAGGCTAGGAAGTCCAGCAGAGATTAGCTTAGGCAGGCTAAGTAGACCGATATTGCTAAAGAGACGAACAAGATGCCTCCATTGAACAGATTAGTAGATAGGGCAAAAAAAAAAAAAAAGGTCACAGGCAATATAACAAATACAAAAAGCGAATGCCATGTCAAAAAATATTGTGGCTGCAGGATTGTGGCTTGAAGGAGATATGAGTCCATAATCTGTGGCATTGTCTCATGTATTATGAGTGCAGGCCTGTGTTTAGAGTCCCGATCAGCTCACGCCTGATCTGGTCGGTACATAATAAACGAAGGATAAGGAGCTTTTCTGGCTAAAGTTATCAAAGTTAGAGGAGGTAATCAACGTATGCACCAGTCATTTCCCAGAGGCAAGCGGCATCTGTGGGGTCCCGCCATCGGTCCTTTTAGCCGATGCCCATGAGTGTGGGATCAGTAACCCAGGAGTGCAAATGTCTCGTGTGTCGTGGCCCTAACTGGGGCCAGTGGGGCTGGCTGGGGCATTGTAGGAGCTGGACAAGCGCTGGCATACCTCGCTCCCTTGGGCATGTAAGGCCAGTCCCGCTCGCACGGCAGTTGACAGGTGTTGTCACAGTCCTTTAATGCGCTGGTTGTTTCTTGCGCTGTCCGGATGTATGTGCCACCGCTGGGTCCCGGCATATCGGTGGGGATGGCTTGGATCTGTTCTCAGAGCTATTGCAGAGGTTCGGCATGTCGACAGTGGTGAGGATTTCTGCCTTACAGCTCTGGGTGCCCCTCTGCCGTGCCTGCTGGTATTATCTCGTGAGGTGGGTGATCGTGGTGCCCAGTGATGTGAGTCTGGGCTCTGTGTTTTCCCCTTCTTGGGGGTTCCCTGCTTCCGTGGTGGATAGGAGGTCCTATAGAGGTCGACCCCTGATGCTCTCTGCGCGAGAAGGCCCCGTGTTCGAGGGGTTGTAGCTGGAGGTTCCCACACTCCTTGAGGTTTCCCAAGTCTCCCCTCCGCTTGCTTTTTGTGTTTCATAGTCACTTTATGATGTGGCCCAATTGGCTGTAAAAGTGCCAGACAATTAGCCCAAAATACTTCAAATATAACATCAATGGAGTCTCTCTCGTTGGTGCCTTCACCCAGTCCAGTGTTAGGTTGCTTGTTCGTTATTGCCGGATCTTGTGCATCCGCCATCTTGGAGGCCCCAACTCCCACTTTGCTTGATTAGATTGCGGGTGTATTCGAGCTAGGGGTTCTCCGTCCAGCGGGGACGGGGATATCCCCCACCGGTCCATTGGGGTGGGGGAGGTGTGGGGGGGTAGAATGTGGTATGCTCGCATTTTGCTGTCCGCGCTCGGCGGGAAAGCGGCCGCCTTTCCTCGCCGCCTCCTGTGGTAGGCCTCATTTGCTGTTGCGGTTCCCGGTCTCCCCGGGTGTCGTGTTTGGCGTCGTTGGGCGTGGGCAGTTCCGTCGGAGGTTTGCTGTTCAGCAGCTTGATAAAACCAAAGGTGTTTTTGTCCATTTTGCGGGAGCTCTAGCAGTGCACGTCCAGCTAGCTTGCTGGTTAGGCTCCGCCCCATTGTTTTCTTTTATGGCTATTAACCCCTTAAAACCGGAGGATGTACAATTACGCCCTATTATAGGCGGCTCTAAACGCCGCCGGGCGTAATTGTACGCCCTCCGGTTTTTGTTAACTTACCCAGGGAGCCCCCCCGCGGCAGATTCTTCTCCTCCGGTGCTCCCCGGCCATGTGAGAGCGAGGACCCCACAATCACATGGCCGGGTAGGCTGCCTCCTGCATTGCCAGCAGGGGGGCTGCCTGTAATGACAGGTGGTCCCCCTGCTGGCTGGAAATAAAATTAAAATTAAATTTATTGGTGTAAAAAAAATAAAAATATATACTTAGATCATATGTATATATTGTGTGTATATATATATATACACATATACATACACACACGTACACCGTCTAGGTGTATTTTACTATTAATATATATATAATTATATATATATATATATATATTAATATCAAATTACACGTAGACTGATATTGATTAAATATATATATAATTATTGTTATATATATTTATATATAATATAAAAAAATAAAAATGTAAATACGTTAAAAAATAAAATTAAAAAAATAATTAAAAATAAATAATTTAAAAATATATAGATGTGTGTTATTTCGTTCTAACTGTTTTGTGAAATTAATATATATATATATATATATATATCAAAATACACGTAGAACGAAATATATATATATATACATAAATATATACATATATATATCACTATATATATACACCTATATATAAATAAAAATATTTTAAAAAATTATATAGATATATATATACATATGTATATATATACATATATTAATTCTACATATATATTTATGTAATATTTTTACATAATTAGGTATCTTAATTAATTACAATTAGCGGGACCTGCCTGACAACCCATGCGAAAGTACTGTTCTACTCGGGAGACTTCGCTGAACACAAATATTAGTGTTTCAAAACAGTAAAATGTATTACAGCGATGATATCGCCAGTAAAAGTGACGTTTTTTGCATTTTTCACGCACAAACAGCATTACACGGACAATATTATTGCTGTGATACTTTTTACTGTTTTGAAACACAAATATTTGTGTTCAGCGAAGTCTCCCGAGTACAACAGTACCCCTCATGTACAGGTTTTATGGTGTTTTCAAAAGTTACAGCGTCAAATATAAGGCTTGTGTTTCATTTTTTTCACATTAAAATTCGCCAGATTGGTTACGTTGCCTTTGAGACCCTATGGTAGCCCAAGAATGAAAATTACCCCTATGATGGCATACCATTTGCAATAGTAGACAACCCAAGGTATTGCAAACAGGGTATGTCCAGTCTTTTTTAGTAGCCACTTAGTCACAAACACTGGCCAAAATTGGCGTTTTTTGCATTTTTCACACACAAACAAATACTAACGCTAACTTTGGCCAGTGTTTGTGACCAAATGGCTACTAAAAAAGACTGGACATACCCCATTTGCAATACCTTGGGTTGTCTACTATTGCAAATGGTATGCCATTATGGGTGTAAATTTCATTCCCGGGCTACTATACAGTCTCAAAGGCAACGTAACCAATCTGGCAAATTTCAATTTCAAATGTAACGTGCTATATTTGACCCTGTAACTTCCCAAAACGCCATAAAACCTGTACATAGGGGGTACTGTCTTACACGTGAGACTTTACTGAATATAAATGTGTATTTTATTGCAGTAAAAGCAAACAGTATTATGACATTGACCGTTAAAATGTCATGTAGAACTAAAAATATCCAAAAAAAGTATTTTCTCCCATTTTTTTCATATTAAATTATGTTTCATAGCTAAATATTTGATATTAAATGAAAGCCCTGTTTCCCCTGAATAAAAGGATATATAATAAGGGTGGGTGCATTTACTATGAAAGAGGTGTATTACGGTTGGACAGACATGTAGCGCAAATGCCAGGTTTTGTTTACATTTTGTTTTGTTCACAATGTGTACATTTGGCTCCGTCCTTAAGGGGTTAAGATTACAAGACAAACATACCACATTCTAAAATCGCTCCACATTAAGTTTATTTTACTCCTTGTGTTTTGTGACCTGTAACTACCAACAACAAAAAAATAAAAATCCTAGACACATTATATAGTCTGTAAATCAGAACTAAAGTAATTATTTAATTACTTTCCTTAACCTGCCCTAATTACACACACATTAGTATTGTAAAAACTGTAAAATAAAAAGTTCCCTTTTTTTCATAGTAAATAAGCATTTATATGTTACATCAAATTAAAGCCCTTTTTGTCTTTTAAAGAACGGTATATAATATGTGTTGGTGCAATAATTTAGTCAAATGCAAATTGTAGTTGAATGTAAACAGCAAAAAATGCAAACATTGATAGTCATTAACCCCTTAAGGACAGAGCCAAATGTACACGTTGTGAACAAAACAAAATGTAAACAAAACCTGGCATTTGCGCTACATGTCTGTCCAACCGTAATTCACCTCTTTCATAGCAAATGCACCCACCCTTATTATATATAATTTTATTCAGGGGATACAGGGCTTTCATTTAATATCAAATATTTAGCTATGAAACATAATTTAATATGAAAACAATGGGAGAAAATAAGATTTAAGGGTTAAAAGGTTAGAAATGAAAATGATTTAAAAAAACAAAACCAAAAAAACAACTTTGGACACACCCAACAATCCTTTCTGCTGTTAGCTCTATAACAAATGCAGGAACACCCCCGCCCCTCCTCCACATGTGGCCGACTGCAGCGCTTTTTTCCCGCCCACTAAACAAACTGCGGCGGGAAATAGAGCGCTGGGTACCGCCCCCTTTTGTCGTCATTTCCTGTAGAGATAGCGCTTGCCTCCGTTCTTTTGTCACTTCCTGTACAGAACTAGGGCAGTTCAGTCCGTCGTCTAAGAAGAGAGCGCGCCAGGGCAGTACTCGGGCGGTGTGTACGTCGAACAGCAAACATGAGCGATAGCGGGGAGCAGAATTATGGAGACCGGGTGAGTGCGAAACGAGCAGTAAGCATCAATTCCTTCACTAATGTTCATTTATCAGATGGCAGCTTCCGTTACTCCGCTGTATGGGACGTCGTGGGGGTAACATGCAGACATAAGTAAAGCCGTCCAAATCCGTGATAACATTATAATCCGTGTTCCGCCGGCTTTGTACCGCCAGATTACTAACCATGAGTCGGGTCGTCCAAGCCGCTTTCGCTAACCGTGGTTCGATTCTCGCCGCCATTTTGTGCGCGGTTGTTAAAACGATGAAGGGGTTCCCTAAAATGGCTCCTGCTTCAGCATTGTGCATATGGGATTAGCCAGCAGGGGGGGTGCAGGCTGGTAAATTCTCTGATCGTCGTAAAATAAAGTACTTTCGTCCAAGAATTTAGCGTATATTGAGGTTTAGATTGATCACTTATAACTTAACTCGACAATAGATTTAATTGGGCTGGTATGTATATCTGGAGGTATGAATAATGTCGAAATTTCTTATCTTTACCCTGCAAGTGGGCACCTCCATATTCGCCCCATTTGTATAAACTCCCTCCTGAGTCTCCGGTTTGAGAAAGTATATAAAGAGGAGAAATGAAACTGTATGGAGTGACTGATCATGGTGGTTTGTTTCTACGGTGTTATGCATGTGCCTGCTGGCTTCTGGGGTAATTGCCAACAACCTTTAGAACTTTAGATAATTTTTTTTTTTTTTTTTAGAACGCCACATTTTAATCTTTCGCTCTCATCTTGTTCAATCTTGCTGGGCATGAACTGAAATTAATTGATCTTGTTTGACATACATTTTAAAAAACCTGTTAGCGCCGTTGGGACGTACAATACCGCCCCGCATTTAATGAGCCTAAACGCTGTTAGGGTGGCATAGTACGCCACAACGATCGTTAACTCCCTGGCCGCAATTTACTTACCTGGATCGGCGATCCCGTCTCCTGAAGAGGCCCCTCTGCTTCCATTTCGCCTCTCCAGGGCTATGTGATCGCGATCACATGGCCTCAAAGCAGTCTGAGACTGCCGGAGTCCCCCTAGTGCCTGAAAATTTAAAACAAAGTTAGTAAAACACATCCAAACCATGTATTGTACATGTCAGTTAAAACACCTAATTGACATATAATACATGCAGAATCAAAATCTTACTGTATTTTTGTATTAATCTATATAATATGCTAATAGGGTGTTTAAATTAACTTATGATATATTATAGGTAATAAGTGTCTTGAGATAGATATATAGATATATATCTATATATATCTCTATATATATATATATATATATATATCTATATATATATCTATCTATATATCTCTAAATACACTTAGAATTGTGTGTGTTCAGAAAGTCCATTGAATTTAATTTAGAAGCCCTATACATAACCCTGTAACTTTCCATAAAACTTGTACATGTTGGATCCTCATGAGACTTCGCTGAACACAAATTAGTGTTTTAAAACACTATAAAATTTGTAATGATTTCATCAGTGAAAGTGCAGTTTTAAGGTGAAAAATGCAACAACAAAAAATATGAAAACGAACTTTGGCTAGCGTTTGTGACTAACTACAAAAGACCGGACTTACTCAATTCTGAATACCCTGGGTTGCCTACTTTTGAATGGTATCATAGGCCACCTAACCAGTCTGGTAAACTTCCAAAACCCCATAGAACCCGGACGTGGGGCTACTGTTTTTCACTCGTGTGACATCGCTGGAAAAAAGTGTTTAGAGCAGTAAAGCTTAACGGCCGTCACCATTATAATGGGCTTTTGCTGTTACTGTTTTACTTGTGAGACATTGCTGAATACAAATATGTGAATAGTTCATGAGAAACTAAAGCCCTGTTTCTCCTGAACAAAATAATATAGATATATATTACGTGTGGGTGCACTTAATATGAAAAAGGTGAATTACGGTTGAACAGACATAACGCAAATTCCAGGTTTTGTTTACATTTTGTTTTGGTCAGAATGTGTATTATTGACTCTGTCCTGGAGGGGTTAAAATGACAATGCTATCAGTGAAAGGACATTTAAAAAAACAAATACACACCTTTTTTTGTGTGGGGGGGGGGAGAGGGGGTAAATGAAGACTATAGGACAGGGACTCCCTCTCCCCACCCCCACATGGGAAAGGTATTTTTACTTACCATTTTTCTTACGCCATGCTGGTGACTTTGCGGCTGGCCACACCTCCATGGCTGAGATCATCAATCTTGACTATCTCAGCCAATCCAATGCTTCCCCGTAAGAAAGCATTGGGAAACTATTGCGCTTGCATGGCATAATGCCACTGTGCCAATCTAACTTCTCAGAGATTCATTGAACCAATGCATCCTTATAGGGAACATTAATGTAGATACTGCACAGTGTAGTGCACTGACCCAGCAAGCACCTCTAGAGGCCGTCTCAGTGACTGTCGCTAAAGGGGTCACCAGGTAGCAATCTAAACACTGTCTTTTGTCTGAAAAATCAGTGTTCACATTGAAAAGCATTCAGGAACAGGATATAGACTACATTAAGCTGTATTGGTTCTGGTGACTAGAGTGTCCCTTCAAGAATTGTAGTTGTGGCATTGATTTCTCTGGCTCCTAACTTTCTTTTTTTTTTCTAGCTGGCTTCTAGATTCTAATCAAATTTGTCAAGCCATGGTTTAGTGTACACAATCAGAAAAATAATGTGTTAAGGTAGTTTTAACACTTCAATCATGCATACCTCTGCTGAATGGTAGTTGCATGCACGTTATAATGTACAGCTTCCTTTATGTCTAATGTTGCATGAACCAGTGTTATCGGCATACACTAGCAGAGGGCCCATGGAAACTAACAAGCCTATACAAGTTGGCAACTCTGAATTAATTCAGTGTCACATATGCCAATCCCATTATCATGCACAATAATATTTTTTTTATGGGACACCTTCAACACCCACTTAAAAATTATGCAAACAGGTCTGAGAAATGAATGTTTAAAGAAATTGATTTTTTTTTTTACAAATTTTTTGTTTTTAAATATCAACTGCTAATCTAGCTCGTGGCAGTATTCTCTCCATTGCTACTTCTCTTCTGAGCTAATCCATCCTGATCAGCTATGGAATAATTCACTGATTCTCATAGCAAAGCATTGGCAACATACTGGGAAAGCACTTTAAATGTCACGCTTAGGCTTTTGTATGCTTCTTATGTAATTCAATACTTTTCTGTGAGAAGCTTTTACAGGATTTGGATTTGCCGTACATAAATACTTAATTTATCTTTTCTTTTCCTATAGAGAAACTGACAAACCTGGTTTTTGGGAACCACTGGTTTGCTATATTTAAAACAAAACTTTGGTTTTTCTGAAACCCTGTGTTTAGGGTTTTTTGGTTTTTTTTTCGAGGAATTTTCTTTTCTTTTTTTATGTACAGTCATGCTGAGGTGCATTGTCAGTAATGTTGTTGTAAAGCAATCTGTATTGGCTACTTTAATTCCTGGCATTTTATCAAATGCATTAGGTGTATGATAATGCACCTGGGTGGGATTTACATTTTAAGTGGGAAGGAAGTTGAAAGCAGGTAGAACCAAGAGTTAGTGTCTATTGAGTGGAGAACACATATGGTTAGGCCTAAGGTAGTTGAACTGTCGCTGTGGAAATTCTTAAGTGTTTCTGACTGATTTTGTGCAGTAGAGCATATGTGTTGTGATCTAGTAAGGTTTGTGTTTCTAAATAGCTGCATATGTTTAGGACAATTCTTGTTTATTTGAATTTCTGTATGTATTGTTGTGTTAAACACTTTCTGCATTGTAATTTAATTATTTGCAACTACCACAGCAACTCTGGTTTCTCTTTTGGTATGTTGTATTTCTTAATTATGTGTTCTTTAAAGGAACACACCCATATAACATGCAGATAGGAGATTCAGTTTGATACAATTTATACATTGTGCGAGTGATCATCTGAATATGTATGCTTTTGATAGCACTCTGATGAGCACAATCTATGGATACAATTAGGAGCCTATCAAATTACACACTGCCATATTTGTCCTGGCAGAGTATGCGTGGTGATGTATTGAATGGTTACACTTACTCTCCTCTTGAATGCTTTCATACTATATTGGAAGTTAGTTGTCATTGTGCATGGGGTTCTGAAATGATTTTTCTTTTCAGATCTGTGGCATGTGATTTGTGCTAAATGAAAAAGACAAGTGGCTGTTAAGGGAGATCAAATTCCCTCGTAGTGGATACAGAGTTTTTAATGGTGTGAACATTTGCCGCCTTACACTATTTCAGTCATGACTTTCAGTTGATTTTTTTCTGGTTCACTTATATGATCTCCTCCATTCAATGGATATATTTTCAAATAATTCGTGGCAGGCCTTGTTTGGAATATTTTAATATATATATATATTTTTTTTTTTTAATGATTAAACTCAAGATGTTAAGACATCCTGGTGGAGCATGTTATGTAATTAGGTTTGTCTAGTGCATTCATTGTATTGTTGTGGACTTTTTATTTTTTTATTAAATTGACTCATGGAAAGGTTCCAAGCATTCAGTTTTTTTAGTTTCAGCTTTGTCACTAGATTTGATCCTGAAGATTTTAAAATTCATCCTGTTCTTTTTCTGTTAAGGTTAAAATTGAAGAAGGAAAATACAGAAGTCTTCATTTGACAAGTTTTATAAATGAGAATTTTTTGAAGCTCAGGAATAAGTGAAGCTGAAATTTGAAAAAAAGAGAATGCATGCTATTTATAAGAACTGAAGTCCTGATGTAGGATATTAAGAAATGTGTGAGAGAAGGGGAAGATTGAAAAGAAGTCAGAATTTGAAAATGAAGAATGAAGAAAAGAAATTAAAATGAAGTTAAAATAAGAAGTAATCTGGAATCAGAAAGCACTACGCTAAGTAATTACTAGTCTGTTTCTGTGTCCCTGTATATTTTCTTAAATATCTGCATGCATGATATGTATAAGAGTGCATACAGGGGTAAAGTGAATACTAGGGAAATAACTTAAATTAGGCTTGCTTGCTTTAGTTTAAAAAAAAAAAAAGTTTTCTGCTCTTATCCAATGACTAAGTCAATTGAAACGTAAATATGAACAGTGGACAGGATTCAAATGTAATCCATAGAGTGAAGGGTTTTTATTAAAGTGTTGTTTTGTGTCCAGGAGTCTCGATCCGCTTCAAGAAGCGGTAGTGCTCGTCGCTCTGGCAAGTCTGCAAGCCAGTCTCCCAATCATTCTGCTGCACGCTCGCGTTCAAAAGAAGGATCCAGACATTCCAGATCAAAGTCCAGATCAAGATCTGAATCAAGGTACTGTAAATATATTAAAAATGTGTTGTTTTTTTTTAAAGCAAATCATTAGATTTAAAAAATAAAATAAAAAAAATCCTTCAACCATTTTTTGTTTTTTCTTCAGATCCAGATCAAGAAGAAGTTCTCGTCGACACTACACAAGGTCACGCACCCGTTCAAGATCACATAGAAGGTCCAGAAGCAGATCATACAGCAGAGATTATAGGAGGCGACACAGCCATAGTCACTCTCCTATGTCAAATCGTCGCCGTCATATTGGCAACAGGGTAGGATGAATAAACAGCCTAGTTACAAGTTATGCATTTCATTTGTTCCTCTGCGCATGGTGGATGGGTGATTTCTGACCCTATAGTGTTAAAACCACCACCTTGCCTCCCTGGGCCACTCATGCCTCCATAAATATAGCAAAATCTTACTGTATTCAAGTCTGAAGCTATAACTCTGCATGCTGTTTGAAAAACAAGTAGTCTGCTGACCTCATCAGAAGTGGTAGATTGATCCAATCACAGTGCTTCCCCATAGGATTGGCTGAGACTGACAGAGGCAGAGCCAGCATGATTCAAACACAGTCCTGGCCAATCAACATCTCCTCACAGAGATTAATTGAATCAATTAACCTCTATGAGGAAAGTTCAGTGTCTGCATGCAAAGGGAGGAGGTACTGAATGTTTGGATGCATTTTAGGCAGCCATGACCATGGAAGGATCTCAAACAGTCATCTGAGGCTGTAATGTAAACACTTCATTTATATATTTGATCCAGCTGAAGACCAAAAAAATAATTCTAGCCATTTCCAATTATGCCAAAAAAGGATGGGATATTTCTTGACCCCATAGTGGCAATCAGATTGGATCAGCATTTTAAAAATTAATCCATATAATCAAATACAAACTCTTTACTTTAGGCACAGAATTATTTTATTGCTTTAGATGTAAAGAACACTTTCCTCTGCTGGAAGCGAAAATGCTTTAGTTAATCTTAAATGATAAATATTATGGTCACTATTTTCAAAATTGCTCCCAAACTTAAAAGTTAACATTTAGTTCTGACAAGCATATCTACTAGTTGGCTCTTCTACTAAGATGTGAAAATATTGTTTATCCAGTTCAAAAACCAGTTTCAATTAACTGTAGTACTAGCCCCCTGGCCCAATTCTTACCTGGGAAATGGAGAAAAAAAATATGCCATGATTGGCAAATTACTCAGTTGTGAAGCCTTATTAGTTTGAGATTGAAGTTGCTGTTCCCTATTAGTATTGATGTTTGCGGGCTTGTACTATTATTAATGGATATCCACTGTTTCCTGTTCAAATATCTACCCATACGATTTACACATACTCGCCTGTATCATCACATAACATTTCTTTAACACTAGGTCTCAAATCTGTTTTTAATATAAAAAAATTCTATCCATATTAAGTCTGTGTAAATTATTAGCCCAATCAATTGTTTCACGCCAAGTCCCAGTAATCCCATTTATATCATACTATTCCTTGTATGCAAACATCTCCTCCTGCTCCATTTTCCTTCACAAATTTCTTGCATTAGCGAGCAAACAGATGTTAAAGTTGCCATTTGTTTCTTGAACTTTCTTTGAACATGTAAAAGTAGTAATGCTGTATTTTAATGTGGCTTATCTTTTAGGCAAATCCTGATCCCAACTGCTGCCTGGGTGTGTTTGGACTAAGTCTTTATACCACAGAGAGAGATTTAAGAGAAGTATTTTCAAAATATGGTCCTATTGCTGATGTTTCCATAGTATACGATCAACAGTCCCGGCGTTCAAGAGGATTTTCGTTTGTATACTTTGAAAATGTTGAAGATGCAAAGGAGGTGAGATTTCTTCTTTGTCTTAATGTGATCATTACGGTGCAGTCTGTATTTTACTTTATAAAAAATGTTGCAGGTGCTGTGTAAAATGAATAATCTTGACACCGTATCACTTGCGTATTTTGAATGGAAGTTCCTTTATTAAGGAAAACTGTTCTTATAACGGATATGGTGCCCAGTGTAATCTGTCAAATCATTTTAGAAGTTACGTGTGTCCCTCAGGTGTCTGTGCTGCAGTCCGTATTCTCCTGTAGGAGATGTCTGGTGTCTCCAGCACAGCCGATGCAGGGCCAAGTTCATTGGCTGAGTGCATGCAGCTTATGCTCTCTGCATCCCTGCATGACACTGTTTTAGGTCAGTAGAGCCAACTGGATTATTCTACCGTGTTTTGTCTGGCAGGATGCAGGTAAGTTGTCCACTTGTTGTAATTCAATTTGACAAATTACACTGCGAGGGTGCAAGGACACTCCTGGCACCATAACAACCGGTTGTAGTGTTTCTTTAATTGCACACTGAAGTTAAAAATATTAATTGTCCCCTTTTAAAAAAAATTTGTTTTCCTGGGTACAGCACTGGCTCTGCGTTGGTAGGAGACCTAATGTGCATGCGCGACAATGGCTGCGATAGCATTAGGATTTCCACATAGGAAAGAATTGTATGGTTATGGTGGAAGTCCTCATGCATAGCATGAGGATGTCAGCGTCATTTAGGTGACATGTTAATGGTGATGAGACATTGCACCTAGACCACTTCAATGAGCTGAAGTGTTCTGGATGCCTACAGTGTCCTTTAAAAGAGCACTATAGTGCCAGTTAAAACTCCTTCAACCACTTGCCTGAACAGCTCTTGGCTCCCTCGGCGCTGGTGACCTCTCATGCTGATGTCGGCTCCGAATGCGCTTGTACGGCCACAGCCATGTGCCCATTCAAATTGCTCATTGCTTTCCTATATACATTCTCTTCATCTGTGTGATTTTATTTATTTTTTTTGGTCACGTAGACTGCCACTAGAGGCTGGATCAACACTCAATGAAAACATAGCAGTTTCTCTTTCAGCTGCAGGGTTAAAACTAGGGGGCCCTGGCACCCAGACCACTTCTTGGAGCTGAAGTGGTCTGGGTGCCTATAGTGATCCTTCAACTACATCATAGCTACACTTAAAATTTAGATCTGTAGATAAAATGTTTTTCTGTACTCTGTTTGGAGTGTACATGTGTTAGCATGGACTGTGCCAATGCCTATATTTAAACTCCAGGTTTTTGACTTTTAGTTTATAAATGGTTACAAATGTCATATGTATTAGTGGAGGGTAAGCACATAAATTGTATTAGTTTTGTGGGGGGTTTTTTTGTTTTGTGTTTTTTTTTGTTTGTTTTTTTTTTTTTACATTTTGTGTATGACATCTGAGTTTACATGTCATGTGCACTGACCTCTAAATTCCAGTTTCCAATCCAGTGCTAGAAATGAGAATCTTTAAATATGCAGTTATATTTATTCAGAAATATTAACATTGTCTTCATAATTATTATAAATATTTTTTTTAAATGCAACAGTGAAAGGACAATTTCTATGTCCCTAGAATACAACTATATTTAGTGATGTCCTATTACTTTTTTTTTTTAAAGGTACATACAAAGTATTTACCAATAATTCTTTTTATTTTTTAAAGGCTAAAGAGCGTGCTAATGGAATGGAACTGGATGGAAGGCGAATCCGCGTTGACTTCTCTATAACAAAAAGGCCTCATACACCTACACCAGGAATATACATGGGACGTCCAACGTAGTAAGTTATTCAAGCTCACCGTATAATGCACAAATTTTGGTTGCATCTTAAAAAGTTAACTCTCACCTTTGTGTATGATCTCATGCTTTTTATATATAAATATATTTTACCTCTAGTGGAAGTTCACGTCGCAGAGATTACTATGATAGGGGATATGAGCGAGGTGGATATGATGACCGTGAATACTACAGCAGGTCTTCCTACAGGTAAATATTATGTTTACTTAAAAAAACTAGGACAATCTTCTAATAATTGTTTTATTTACAAATTGTTGCATCCATTAAAATTTCCAGGTTATTGGTAAGATTGTCGCACTAGTAATATTTGAAGTGCATTTCAGTTTTCACTTGAAAAGCCAATTGCCTAATTCAACTCATGTGACTGTAACAAATGCACCTCAAAAGTGTTTTTGTGTGTAAAACAAGACAAATACTGTAGAATGAGTATTTTACAAACTAATCTAAATATATCTCTGCCCTGTTAGGAAGTGCTTGTGATATTCATGGTCTTTCCTACTGGTACAAAAATGTAATTACATTTTTTTTTTTTTTCCCCAGAGGGGGCGGAGGTAGTGGATGGCGTGGTGGGCAAGATCGTGACCAGTTTTCTAGGTAACCACGAAAAGTATTTTTAGTGAGATGAATTATTTTGCTTGTGTATAATCAAATTGAATGTCTAGTTTTGTGGGGGGGTTTTTAACATTGGTTGCCAGATCAGCGATCCTTTCCTGAATGTGCATTGCTTATGTGTGATGTTGGCACTGGCATGTAGTATGCAGAACATTTATGGTGCATGATGAAATTTATTAACTAAGGAAGAATCCTAACGGAACTTCAAGAAATATTTTACTTCCTGTATCTTGTGAATGTTGCATACTTTGGAGCAATGGTTTTTAATGTGTTGCCTTGGAGCATGAATAGGTGATGGGTATCCAGCAGAGCAGATCAAGCAACTGTAGCCCACTCAAAACTACTTGGCCTTAATGGGTCCTCCAATTCTATCCCTACACAAGCAAATGAATGCGCGTTATTAGTAGTATTACTTCCAATATCACTAAAATTAAATGGAAAACAACAATTTAAACTAATTTATAGAAAAAAAATTTGATTTCACCTGTTTAATTTTTTTTTATTTTTTTTTATCCCGTTACTTACAGGAGGAGATCTCCCTCACCATACTATAGCAGAGGTGGATACAGGTCTCGCTCTAGGTCTCGTTCATACTCTCCTCGTAAGTAACTGTGTCTTAACTCTGCTGTCCACTCCCTTTTAAAATGTTTAGTAGACTCAGTGTAGGTATAAATGTAAAATGTGTGCAGCAATAACTTAAAGCAGACCTATATCTGTTTTTTATAAAAAAATTTTAACTCTCAAACAAACTCCTACAACCAAATAGGGACTACACTAGTGTGTGTACTGATTTAATTTTGTTTGGCTTTGTCCATTGCATTGGGAATAAAGTATAGCCAATTCATGTGACTGACCTGTACTGCGTTCGAATGGTTGCCTCCACCATTTCAGGACTGTGCTTATGCTTTTTTTTTTTTGTAGATAAAATGCATTCATCAAATAAAAACTTTTTTTTTTTTGTCTGCAGGTCGCTACTAAAACCTTTAAAATGAATTTCCAACAAGGAGACAGTTTATTAATATTTAAAGATCTGTCGGCATTAAAGTGATGTAGAAGACTTAAACACCATTTTGCTAAATTTTGATAGATTGTAAAAAGCTGTCTATTGCTTCTGTATAGACATTTTTGTGACTCAATGTTTGCAGATGTTTTGCATGTGTTTTATAACCTGTGACTGCTATGAAGTTTATATAGTTAAGAGCTTTGATGTTTTCTATTGGATGTTATGATTTACCTGCAGTCTTTGGAATCAGCAAGTTGAAATAAATCAAACCTGGATTTTTACTTATATTTGAATGCATTTATTCTTGTCTGAAAAGTTGCAACATTGTGTAATCTAATTTTGAGTACATTATGTTTATGTATAGATTGAGTTATATACCAGTTCAAACAGAGCAATGATACTTTGTACATAATGTGTCACTAGCAGCATGTTACAGGAACCATGTCTGTCTGTACAAGTATTGAACCATGACACTTTCATGGTGACACCAACCAGCTGTGTTTAATAATTGAGATGACTCTAAACAGAATACACTTTTCAAAAAATGAAGAAAACACATTGTCCCAGATCTTAATTTTAATACTTTAGATGGTATTGATGTAATTTTAGTCACAGAAATAAGTAAATACTGAATTGTTAAAATGTATGGTGCCGAGCTTATTTTATGTTGGCTTGCCTCGCCTCCTGATTAGGGTTTAAAATTGCCCTTCACCATCATGAGTGTGACCGATCCTCCAGGATTGCTGTGGTGAGGACAACTCCTGATATTGTCTTATTCTGAATGATGGCTGATGGTGGAGATGTTTTGCCTTAAATCACAAGGAATCTGTACATTTGAATTGCTATTAGGCGACTTTGGTGGCTGCATGCAATCAATTCTGGGTAGTGGCAGGCTCACTCTTCAATAGGTTGTGCCTGCATTTGTATTTGAAGCTCATAATATCCCACAGTGTTCCCTTTCATTACTGAAATATGCTGTCAGTTAAAAATATATGTAATTTTTCTTTTTCTGCAAATGCCTTAAGGATTACTCCAACCACTTTCACTACTTTTTCCTTTTAGCAGTGGACCTTGTTGTAGGAATCTGTTGGTGCAAAGTTTGTTAGAAACATTAAAACTGCAATGACCTTACACTACCATACTGTTACTACATCTAACTCTCTAATAATTCTGATAACATGGGTGCCAAAGTTAAAAAAGTAGACTGTGCCTGCCATCTACTGGCTGTTTTTCATAATTAGTCGCTATAATTATGTAATGAGTGAAGCCTGCTTTCCAGCAGATCACACCATAAGTGCTGGGCAGCTGGCAAAGCACAATAACGGTCACAATCTGCTGAAGGCAGAGGTATACACAGAGGACCAGGCAGACCATAGAAGTTGGACCTCCTTCAAGTGTCCTACGTTTTCCACCCGAGCCATATGATACTAATGGCTCTCCACTTGTGAGTGGATTCTGCACTTTGTATCCTGTGTTGCTCTCCTCAAGGATATAGTTTTAGCCTTTTTGGGCACATTCCTGCATATTCTATAGAGCCTGGGACTGCTCTAAATCCTGTTATACTCTACATAAGGGGTCTATCACTATATACATTTTGCACTGTTATGATTTTTTTTTTTTTTTAGATTGATCCCAAATTGTAATTTCGTTGACTAGTGCAGTATTTATTCTATTGTTTTAGTATGTATATGTCTTACCTTATAAGCCTCTGAGTTTTAACGTATGTTTATCGTGGACCATTTGATGTTCAAGCTAAAAGAGGCAAGCACCATGCCAACCCCCAAGGAATGATGGGTGTATAAATGCCAGGATAATGTGTGACTCAACATGAGAAATAAGGTGGAGTAATACATCCAGTATGTAAAAACAAAAAAAACTTTATCTTGAGGTATTTCAATATAAACAGTGTGTATGGTTTGTGACAAATTCTGGGGAGGCCACATGGAAACCTGTTGCAACCAATGGGAGGAGCACCCATTCAATCTGAGTTTGTGAAATTCTTCTGGTTGTCAGAGGAGCGCCTGTTCAAATGGGGTTTTGTGCCCTTTCTCCTGATTGGGCAGCGAAATCCCTCTCCTCCCCGAGCACTGATTTGGCGCAAGCGTTTCGCTCCACTTTGGTTTAGGCAGCAAAACTCCTCCCCAGAGCGCTGATTGACACGATTTGGTTTGTGCCCTTGCAGCCAAGGCTTTTATTCCAAAGAGGTCATGGTAAACCAGTATTATGTGACCTACTTAGTCTGCTCCTCCGTATTGTAGGGGCAGCAGTCTGGCACTTCTGTTGGCTGCAGACCCTCTCCCCCCCCCCCGTATGTAATATGTTTTTACCCATTGCACAGCGCTACGGAATTTGATGGCGCTATATAAGCTGTGGTATCTGGCTATCTCTAACCCAGCCTCCTCCTGCCTAGGATTGGGTTGAATGGAGAACCCCTGCAGGGGTGTGTGCATAAAAGAAGCCTGTTTTCAATAGAGATTGTCAGTGTTTTAACCTCCAGAACTGTGTCCGATTACTGGAGAGAAGGAAGATTTAACCTCTGTCTGCTGTTCCAGCTTGCAGGGAGATGCAATGGGGAAGTCTTTGTGAGGGCTAAGAAAGTTAGTCTCCTATCCATTTCCCCTGGTTCCAGCTGGGAAGCAACCAGCCAGGGTACAGGGAGCTCCGTTACAAATGCTAAAATAACATACAAATTTACTCAACAGTAATACTGTTAGAGATAAGCTTTACAGTTTATATTAATAACTGTACTACTATCTCTACTTTATTTCTACATTAGAAATAAAGTTATATATATATATATATATATATATATATATATACACACATACACACACACAAAAGTACTGAATGAAACATACTCCACTGTGATGGACACCTGGAAAGGGAAACGGGTCTCGCTGCCAAGTATGTCCTTTTCCCCCATTCTGGAACTCTGCTTCGCGACAGTGATTATAGCTTTCCCCACAGACATTAGCAGAGACTTAATCTTAATGCCGGGAGTGAACTCTTTTAATGGGATATTGTACACGCAATTTATACACAGACCCCCAGCAGGTGGTCTCCATACAGTTCAATACAAACTCTTCCCTGTGTCTGGGAGATAATAGAGTGTACTTTGCTTATGATCTTCCAGGAACAGAGGTACAATGTTCAGAACACCCCAAAACATACAATATTACAAGAAACTCCCACAAGTCTTATATCCCTGGCTAGCCTGGATCTGAGCACCCAAAGTGTCCAAATAGCACTCCGATCCCATGAAAACAGTCGAATCGCCACCAGGGGTAAAGTTTTGACCGAGCGCACATGTGGTGGCTGTTGGACTCTTTCGGGAGTCGAAAAACGAACAGATTCTCTGGCTTCTAGGTAGCGATTGTTCGCCTAGTACCTGTGAACAATCCTACTGAACAGCGCTTTCCTAAGATGTGAGGAAACAAAGCACCCTCCCTTCTCTTCTGGTTTCTAAATTTGTGCAAATGAGCATTTTAAAACATTCTTTTACTAACATAATGATGAGAGGGAAAATACATCTGCTTCTTGACTTGGCTGCTCCCCACTTAAAGAGCATACATTAAACCATCAAATAAATGAGAATTTTCCCCTATGTATGAATTTAAAACCACTCGTATAACTTGTTTTAAAAGCAGCCTTTGCAATATTCTTAAAGAACCGCTTGAGAGGCAAAACGTGCATTTGGGCTCTACTGCTGTCCCACAAGTTTACATCTAATCTATTCCACACTATGTTTGATACATTGTGTTTACAGCCCAGAGACAACAGTGGCCTACTTTCATTTTCAGAGGTTTTTTTTTTTTTTTTTTACACATTCCTGCTCCCTGGTCCATAGAGCTAGTTAGTCTTTTGGTAGATTGTAGCCTTTCCTATTTGAACACATGAGAGAGGTTCCTTCAAAGGCCTAATTAGGGGGATCTTTGCTGTTTGGCTTTAGCACAGCGACAGGTGCTCTTAAAGACACTATTATGGTCACTGAGCTTATAACTCAATATCTTGTTTATCCTCCTAGACTTTTTCTGTTGGTCTACATCTTCCAGGGAACTGTGACTATTTCTATCAGTCTCATATGTACTTAAAAAAAGGTGCAAGTGTTAACATACAAGCTTTGTACGACAGCTGTAACACGCCGAGCAAAGATATCATTAGCATGGCATACATTTTTTATATTGGAATTACAGGCTATATTAGAGAAACAGGCTAGACTCACATGTCCTCAATTACATTAATAGTGAGTGGAGTTAGATGTGATTAGACATGTGTACAAGATTAGTAGATATCAAAGTGAGCAAAGAGCATGGCATAAACTGAGTGTAAAGATAAAACTGTGATTACTGAATGACATGCTAATTATGTATACAGAAGGTTAAACCACTGGAATAAAGACAAATTATACCACTGCACCTCAAAAAAATAGGTCAAATAATATCATCAGAAGTAATTCATATTTGTGATACAGACAGCGCAATGACAGTGTCCATCCCTAGACACGTGGAGGGATTGGATGAGTTTTTTAGACAGAAAGAAAAATTTTGAATTTGGAAACTAAAAAGTGGTGGGAAATAGCATTTCTGGAGAATTATTTAAAAGAGGGTCTCATACCGAGAGGACTCCGTATAGACAAAACTCCAGCTTTTGGCTTGGATAACGATGAATTCCTAAAAAAATGGAATGACATTTTGTTTAATTGTTCCTGTTAATTGATGGAACTATTATTGAATTTTTCTAAAGCAAATAAAGCAAAAGCTAAGGAGGATTTAAAGATTCTAGATAGGACAGAGGTTGTGAATAGGGAGGATCCAGAATTTAAGGAAAAAGATGAGGTCATGTTAAAAAGATTGAAAAATTTGGATGAGAAAATTTCAGATACTAAAAATAATAAATACTTAAAAGATAAAGAGGACAAGACGCATGATACTTTTTCTGCTAGAAACAGGACCACACGCAGGAGATTAGGCAGGTCAAATAACATCAAAAAAAGATTTATTAGGTCCCCATCAAAAAAAAAAAAACAGAAAGAGGACTCCAGAATTAGAGAGTAGACCATCATATATAGAAGGACTCCAGAAAAAGAGGATAGACCATCATACAGAAGGGTGGAGGAAGGGAGTAATGTAAATAATACTGAACGATCCCTATATAGAAGAGAGAACCGTTTTGATTCCTATGCACATGAGAGAGAACAAGAACACCCAAAGAAAAAACGATCACAAATTATTTTCGTCCCCGAGAGGAAAGATGGGAACATCCCAACCAGTTCTCGCCTCTGTATACGGAATCTCCACAGAAGAGAATGCGAGTAGAGGAACAGGACAGACACCAAGGGAGGGAATAGAAGTTCCTGGGGAAGAATTGGAAAGTGGCATCGTCAATTTATCAGGAGTCCAACTAACGGAACAGGAAATCAACTTGTTAGAGAAGGGAATGAAATTCGCCCCTAGCCAAGAGGCAGATGATTTTCAACTATATATAGACATTAAGAAATTCATAATATCCATGATGGTTACGAGACATTTTTTAAAATTTCCCATCCCATTGATGGGAGGTAACAGAGAGAATCAAAATTGTACCCAAGCCCAATTCAAGCCCAGGTCAAGATTCTTTTCAGTACAAAGCAAAGGTTCTCATTTGGAGACATTTAAGAATTTGGTGGAGAAGGATTTTGACAAATGGGCTGGAGCAAATAGACGTAAAGGAAGGAATAAATTGCAAAATTTGACGAAGGGGGAACAATTTGCATTAAAGGATTTAACCTCGAGAGAGGTTAAACAAAGGCGGAGCAATAGTAATCATGTCAGCGCAATATTATCGACAGGAAGCCTTTAATATCTTGGCAGGTGGTAAAACATATAAAAAACTTAAAAGTGATCCCACATCGTTTTTCAATAGAGCGCTTAAAAGTCTTTTGAATGAAGTTGAGGGTATCATTTCTAATATGAACTTGGAATTTTTGTGGAATTCACACCCTGTGATTCCGATTTTTTTTTATTTTGTTCCCAAAATTCACAAAAACCTAAGAAAACCTAAGATGTGACCTTGTTTTGCGAAGGAAATGAGATTAAAACAAAGTGTTTTTTTAAACCGACTGATGGGAACAGCTATGTTCATAAACAAAGTTGTCACCACCAACCGTGGTTAAAGGGGATAACAAAGGGGCAACTAACTAGAGTTAGAAGGAACTGTTCTCACATGAAAGATTTCCATGTACAGGAACAACATATTGCTAGAAAACTCATACAAAAAGGTTATAATCAGAAAAGAATTGCGAGGGAAATTCGTACTATGTCCAAAAAAGATAAAAATGAACTTTTGATGGATTATCCTAATACTAAAAAGAAATTTTAAACAGGCTTTTTTTCACACGATACAACATTGACCATCCTAAAATTAGAAAAAGTTTGTGTAAATATTGGCCAATACTTTTAAAGGACGCTATTTTAGGGAGACATTTGCCGCGTAAACCAACGATTATCTACAGAAAAAAGAAAAATCTTAAAAATATGTTAGCACCCAGTTATGCTCTTAAAAATAGTTTAAAAACTAGGACGGTCATAAAAGGTTTCAATGGATGTAAACGATGTAAAGCATGCTCCCAGGTTAACACTGATAAGACCACATCGTTTGCGAGCTTTTCTATCAAAATTTTTTCCCCATTCAATTTGAGATTGGCTGTCGCTTGGACTATGTGGTATATTTACTGCAGTGTCCGTGCAGCAGCCAGTGTGTGGGACGTACAAAAAGATGTTTAAAGGTTAGATGTTTTAATAATACAAAGGATATATTGCTTTATGTGTATAATTTTGGCAGATGTTTTTCTAATAGCCCTCTCGCCTAGATCTTTGTGAAATTATTCCCCTGGGTAACAGGAGGGGAAGTTCGGGTTGCTATATTTACTATCAGTAACATGAAACGAACGGCCATGTTAGAAGAATGACGTGGAACGCAAGCCGGACACAGGATGAACAAGTGACGAACACGGAGGTGAACAAGTCAATACGGAAGAGGAGCTCTATCACCCGCAAAGTAGCTACACCTGAAAGAGAAGAACGAGTAAGAAACCACAAGAGGGAAGACACCCACTATTTCCACCAATGAACTTGAAGGGATTAGCCCTATTTAAGATGATTGGGTATAGAGCGTATTTTAGATTGCCTTTAATTTTTGTGCATGCTTACTGTTGTGTTTTATTGAAAGTGGTCCCTGATGAAGTCCTTTTGCATAAGGACGAAACGCGTAGGACCTGTGGACGTTTTTATATGTTTTTATGTTTTGTACACCTCCTTATTTTATGGGTGAATAAATTGCTTTTTTGGAGTATCCTTGTGGTTGGAGTTCATTGGACCATCTTGCTGACCCTGGTACCCAAGCGGCTATCAGCTGAGGAGGGAGTCTCAACCCCCCATCTACATCGTGGGGAGGCACCTATAATACGCTCTAACAACTTGGAATTTGTGAGTGCACAGAAATCATTATATTACATTATACTTTTAAACAATATTTGTGCAATGTTTTATCCTTTATTGTAGGTACATTAGCAGGATCCGTAAAATTCCTCTCACCTATATAGACAAGCTTTGGGCAAGAGGCCAGGTTCAGCCGACTCCTGTACATGGCAAGGTGAGGGTGCTAGCAAAAAAGTCAATTTGTAGGACCATGCTTCTGCGCTTCTCCATCTCCTGACCCTCACAAAGGTCAACTTCATCACTCCCCAAGTTTTTTTTTTAAACATTTATATTATTTATGAAATATTTTACATATACATAACATAATAATACGATAATAGTCATCAATGGATACATTTACACATCACTAAACAAGAAATGCATGCTATAAGATATTTAAAATTTATCTAACAGAGATCTTCTAAGTTAATAATCATATCTCAATTTCGAGGTTAAAGTAGAGCTACCAATTACCACTCTTCCTATAGATTTCCAGAGTAAATATATCCATAAAGATACCAAAGGAGGAAAAATCTCCATATTCGACTAAACATGACAACCCCATCTTAAACATTTAACACTAACACTCATGGTCATGGTACACTCAACTAACCTTAAAGACCAACTAGAGCCTCAGATGGACACTCCAAAAGAATTTATGGAAATCCCATTTTTTTTATAAAGGCGCCAGCTCCGTAAAAAAACTTCCACCTAGAACCTATGTTAAGGTTCCCAAAGTTAACTATTTCCTATCTTCTTTAACCATATGCCATATCTATGTTGTTGACTTTTAACAAGACCCCTTTCCATTTTTATTTGAAATTTCAATTGTTCTTTAACTATAGGCCAAATTGGAAAGAGAGTTTCCAAAATCCTCCATTTGTTTAAAAATACATAGGGATGTGGAAAGAGTGCAGGTAACTTTTTTATTTGATTTTAATTAAACACGGCAGTCCACCGTCCCATAGACCATCATCCACTTGCCAAATTCACCCATATTTAAATAAATTTCCATAGGATCTAGCTGTCAGTTAAGTCCTCCTAGAGAAACAAACTTTGTCACTTCATTGGACTTTTCTATTGTTCCTTTGTTACAGATAGAGAGTCTGTTCAAATTTTCTTCGGATAAATTGAGAATAGTAATAAAAAATAGCAGGAAAGGTATTAAATATTTCTCCTCTATTATTTAGCCATAAAACCACAATTTGCCAGAACATATATGGCTCATTTTTTTCCAATTCACCATTTAGATAACATGCCCATGGGCCACAAGGTAACAAAAAAGGGACAAGAGGTAGAAAAAGAGAAAAAATAAAATAAAAATACCGTCCTTTTGAATAAGCTTTTTTAAAGCTTTGTAATACTTGCGTTTGAAATAAATTTGTTGTGCAGGGAGCTGCAGAGCCCTCTTTCTTTGCAATCGCCACTTGAATACAGCTTATCAATAAATCTCTTGCTGCTTTCAAACTGCCCGGTTTGCCAACTTAGCTTGCCCTGCAATATGTCAGCGTGGATTCAATAATTCTTCCTCGGCATGTTGGCAGTGTCAGAGCCTGCTCTTGTCTCTATTTTCCTTCGCTATCCGGTTAGCTAGTTCCCAGCAGCGGCTTTGGGGCTTTCTCTCCTCGTGGTCTCTCTCCACACCAAAGTTGGGTTGCTTAGGTCGCTGCTTCCTTCATCCGCGCGGCGTGACTACGTGCACGTCACATCATCGCTTCATTTTTGGTGTTAAACTGTTTGAGAACCATACCTCTTACCCTTGAGGTAAGAGTGCCTCCTGGCACCTTCACAGCTTTATTTTTTTTTTTTTTTTTTTTATTTTTGTAGTGCGTAGAGGTATAACAATGAGCATGCGGTACCCCAACGGCATTCCTCATGCTTTCAAGTAATAATGGTAACAATAGGGTACATGTTAATACGTGCACATTTTATATGTTAAATGATTATGAAGCTTGTCAGTCAGACTCGATAACTTGGTGGTGTTTAAACAGGCTTAGACAATGTAGTAACATCTTGAAATTTCAACAGGCTAAAGCTTACAACATAGTGAATACGTTACATTAAGCAGTGGGTGAGTATATATATCTGCATTTAGATAATTTTTGGCCGCTTTCTTTCAGTTTGATAGATAATAGATGAAAGGTAGCAAAGTTGTAGCTATGCAACTACGTCTGTCTTATTGCTTTACTTTATCTGATGATAACAGTGGCTTAATATTTACGTAGCGTGTCATCGCTATACTATCTAGGCCTCGTCTTGGTTATGCTGAATAGTGTATAAGTGAGAGGCATATCTGTAATGTAGCAACTGCTGGATCGAGTAGTCATGACACGTAGTAGGTAACACAGAAGGATTGTGTTGCAGATTATGTTAGGGTGAGCAATGCTGACTACCGGGGAACGGGTAATGCCATGAAGGTTTTATCATACCTAAAATTTTCCTTTAATACAGGGTGCCACCAGGCAGGGCGTCTTACATTCCTGTGTGACCTTTATATAAATACTGCTAAACCACAGTTAAACTATGTACAGGATTGTGTGCAGAGGGTGTGCAGGATATTCTGTGACTGCATTTGTAGCGCTATCTGTTGCAGTGAGTCGTGGCATATCATACTTCATGCTACTTATTATGAATGGCTGGGGTCACTGCCAGCTCCATCTCGGCGTAAAGCGTGAGATAGTTGGGTCATACACAAATGGAGAAAGATATTTCAATCACCTTGCTATAACTTTAAGGAGAGAAAAAAAATAAAAAAATTATATATAATAAGAATAAGAACTCAAATTAACTTAAAGTCACAAAGTGAAGTAGCTTGAGGGTCGTTTCAGTCACCCTCTGTCTCGGTCAGAGCGTCTCTCGTTGTTTCATGTGGTCGCTGCAGCATACGGTTCCCCTGTGTTTCGTCGAGGTGTGAACGGGGTAATTTTGCTTGGATTCCAGGTATGCTTGTGTCTGGGTTCAGGTTGTTGCTGAGGGTTGATTAGAATGTCCTGCGGCAGTCCCAGATCCCTCAGGAGTGTGTCTGCCTCTCGTAGGTCTTGGATTTGGTATGTGGTCTCTCCATGTATGATCTGAAGCGTGCGGGGCATTCGCCAGCGGTACTCGATGTTTCGCTGTTGGAGCATGGATGTGAGGGGCTTGAGCGACCTCCGCCAGGCCATCGTGCTGCCGGACAGGTCATTATAGAATTCCAGTGCCATGTTTTCAAAACGATAGTTTGGCCTACCCCTGATTGCCTTCAGGATCGCCGCCTTGTCTGTTCCGTGCCTGAATTGAATTATCAGGTCACTTGATGTCGACGGTGGGGCTCTAGCTGGTTTGGGGATTCTAAAAAGCCCGTCCAGGGGTGTTGCTTTCGCCTGTTTTTGTGGTAGGAGGTCCCCCATCATTCTCCGCACCAGGTGTGGCAGTTCCGCTTCAGGGACAGCATCAGGTACCCCCCGGAGCTTCAAATTATTCCTCCGCCGTAGGTCTTCTAGATTTGCAAAGCGGCATTCGTGGGTCTGGTTCTGCCGCTGGAGGTCTTGCACCGCTTTCTCCAGCACCTGTATAAGCTGAGAGTCCTGGTGAGTGGTGGTTTCCAGCTTGTCAATTCGGCCTGTCAGTCCTTGCAGCCCTCCCCTGATTGTGGCAATGTCAGCCTGCAGGGTGGTCTGTAGGTCGGCAAGGAGACCCTTGAGCGCCGATAGTGTGACCGGGGATGTGTCCGGTTTCGTCGGTGGGGGTTTAGCCGGCGTGAGTTCAGGCGTCTCTTCCTCTTCGGAAGCCAGGTCGTCCGAAAAATCAAAGCAACCGCCCGACAGGTCGGCCATCTTGGGCCCGGCCGCGCCATGTGCTAGGCGCCACATTTCTCCGATATTCATCCCAAGGTGAGGTTGATCCTGCTTGGGTTTTTTGGTTTTGCGTCCCATAGTCGTTAGGTGTGTGGGTCCGACGTCTGGGGGCTCGTTATGGCCGGGGGTGACCCTAAAAATTGCGATTTTGTCCGCTTTTGGGTCGGAGCTGCAGTGTCGTGCGACTTCTCTCTCTGGTGGCTAGGCTCCGCCCCCCACAGCTTTATTTAGATGAAGTTTTGTTGGTGTCTGGAGTGTTCTTTTAAACTATTAGAGTGGTTTAGTCCATTCTTTTTCCACTAGTTTTATAATTAGTAGCAGCAACAATCCAGGACACACTATGCGTACCATAACATTAAGTTTACTTTGTTACTAGTTTGTGTTCCAATTGTTATATTGTCTACATTGTAATAACATCCTTCCCCAAGGATGTGATAACATTGACTAAGTTTATTCTTTTTTCATTTGATCAAGCTGAACTTTAGATACTTCGGAATCACTCTGGTATTATATTATTCCTGCTATATTTTTATAGACTGTATTTTGTTAATTAAATTTATGTTTGTTTGCTTTTTTTTAAATTATTTCTTTATTTTTCTAAATGTTGACAAACAGACGTAATATACATAAACATCACCATATAATTAACCCCTTAAGGGTGGAGCCAAATGTACACGTTGTGAACAAAACAAAATGTAAACAAAACCTGGCATTTGCGCTACATGTCTGTCCAACCGTAATTCACCTCTTTCATATTAAATGCACCCACCCTTATTATATATCATTTTATTCAGGGGAAACAGGGCTTTCATTTAATATCAAATATTTAGCTATGAAACATAATTTAATATGAAAAAAATGGGAGAAAATAAGATTTTTTAAATTTTTTTTAGTTCTACATGACATTTTAACTGTCAGTGTCATAATACTGTTTGCTTTTACTGCAATAAAATACACATATTTGTATTCAGCAAAGTCTCACGTGTAAAACAGTACCCCCTATGTACAGGTTTTATGGCGTTTTGGGAAGTTACAGGGTCAAATATAGCACGTTACATTTGAAATTGAAATTCGCCAGATTGGTTACGTTGCCTTTGGGACTTTATAGTAGCCCAGGAAAGAAATTTACACCCATAATGGCATACCATTTGCAATAGTAGACAACCCAAGGTATTGCAAATGGGGTATGTCCAGTCTTTTTTAGTAGCCATTTGGTCACAAACACTGGCCAAAGTTAGCGTTAGTATTTGTTTGTGTGTGAAAAATGCAAAAAACGCCAATTTTGGCCAGTGTTTGTGATTAAGTGGCTACTAAAAAAGACTGGACATACCCCGTTTGCAATACCTTGGGTTGTCTACTATTGCAAATGGTATGCCATCATAGGGGTAATATTCATTCTTGGGCTACCATAGGGTCTCAAAGGCAACCGTAACCAATCTGGCGAATTTTAATGTGAAAAAAATGAAACGCAAGCCTTATATTTGACGCTGTAACTTTTGAAAACACCATAAAACCTGTACATGAGGGGTACTGTTGTACTCGGGAGACTTCGCTGAACAAAAATATTTGTGTTTCAAAACAGTAAAAAGTATACAGCAATAATAATCGTCACGTGTAAGTGCTGTTTGTTTGTGAAAAATGCAAAAACTTCACCGTTGTAGCCACATTTTACTGTTTTGAAACACTAATATTTGTATTCGGGAAGTCTCCCAGTAGAACAGTACTGGCGCATGGGTTGTCAGGCAGGTCCTAATTGTAATTAATTAAGATACCTAATTATGTAAAAAATATTACATAAATATATATGTAGAATTAATATATGTGTATATATATATATATATATATATATATATATACGTATATATATATATATATGAAACCAGAACAATGAGCAAGCGCTGAGTAACACAAATGAGCAGCAACCCTATAAGGGAATCCCTCAAGAACCCTTAGAATAAAACACAGAGAATACAGAGAAAGGGCTGCGCTTAAAAAATACTTAAAAAGTGTTAAGAGTCCAGATAAAATGAATGAATAAAAAAAGGGGAAGAAGATCTTATCTGGCAATGTCCGTAGTATTTGGTCCGGAACAGTAATCTTGTTTACTATCTTCCTTATGGGCCGTCTCGTATGCAAGAGATGAAAACAAATACAGAACCCAAATGGTGTAGTATATCTTGATAAAACGGAAATTAAAATATAAAACTTGAATGTAAACTCACATTTCCAAGAGCTAGAACCTGCTCTGGTGTAACGGGCGTACAGCGGTTTAAATCCCCGCTTATGGGATATAGAATGCTTGTCCTTCACGTGCCTCCTCCTTCCGTGGTGTGGGAGATACTCAGATAAAAAGAGACAACTAATAGTGCTCTCTGCATAAAACTTAAGATAAAATATAAAATAAAATAAAAGTGGATACTCACAAGACAGGAGCAGGTCAACTGCTCCTGATATATCACGCTGGTGGAATAATCCCCACCTAGGATTGCTTGGAGTCCAACGAATGGTGCCAGGTAATAAGAATAAATATATGTGTATAAAAGGATAGGTGGTACAATAAAAGGTTACCAAATATACTTTAATTATAATAATACACAATATAAAAAAACCATAAACGCGTTTCGCCAAACGGCGTTATCAATATGGGTAAAGAACCTGATACCTGGCAGTGGATCATTTAAATAGCATGTACAAACAATTCAAAAATTGGCGCCAAAATTAGGACAGCCAATCAGATTGCAAGTTAAAAATACATATAATAAAACACAATTAAAACAGTAAAAAAGAGGTACATAAGTATAGACATAAAAATAAATATTCTTGATATATAGTTGAACATTAAAAAAGATCCTTGTTTGATAAAGTATATTATGTGGTGCATGGTCACATGACCGGCATATAATAGGACACAATTAAAATAATAAAAAGGAGGTACATAAGTGTAGACTTAAGGATAAATATTCTAGATATGTAATTGAACATTAAAAACGATCCTTGTTTAATAAAATATATTATATGATGCGCGGTCACATGACCGGCATTAGAACCGAAGTGGATAATGGGATATGTAGTATGACGCCGGCCGGCACTGCGCAGCCGCCGGCGTCATATGGGGGGACTGGCAACTGGCGTCTGCACGCATAGGAGGTGCGGCCAGACGCCAGTGGGCGGGGAAAGTCGGCGTCAGCACGCACGTGGTGCGGCTGACGTCGAATGGAGGGGCGGGCGTCCCGATGACGGCGGCACGCACTCGGCAGTGGCCGTCGTCATCAGGAAGTGGGTAGACGACGGCTAGCACAATGCTGCAGCCGTCGTCATGGAAACATAAAAGTGGGCGGGCTATGACCGGCTAAAATAAAAAGATTAATTAAAATTAAAAAAAGGAATGAGGGGGAGAATAAAAAAGAGTAGAAACATAGGAATAATCGATAGAAATAAAAATATATGTGATAAAAATTAGCACCATGCCTACCCCACTGAATAATGGGAGCAGGCAGGTAGCTATAAAAAAACAGAGCAATGGTGAAAGGATGAGTAAATGAATGAACAGAATTAAAACAGTTAAAAAGATAGGCACATGTTCATAAAAAATTAAACAAATCAAAATCAACATTCAGACCATAAGGTGCAAGGGTTTGAAGTTTATAAACCCATTCCATCTCTTTTTTACCTAAAATATTTTTAATATTTCCACCCCTCCATGGAATCATACATTTGCCTATGGCAATACACTTCAACATTTTAGGATCTTTGTTATGTATAATAAAATGTTTGGATACTGAATGATTAAGGTATCCATTTTTAATGTTTCTGCAGTGTTCGCTCAAACGAATTTTTAAGCACCTTGTGGTCATTCCAACGTATTGGAGGCCACAAGGGCATTCGAGCAGATATATCACATTTTTTGTGGAACAATTAATAAAATCATTTATTTTGTAAACCATGTTTGTCCTTTTTGATATAAATTCCGTTACTTTAGAAGGAACATCAGGGTTAGTAGATTTACACACAATGCACATTTTACACTTGCAGAACCCTTTAATTTCTGGGAAAAAGGATATAGGGGGGGTTTTTTTGAGAGTTTTTTCTCTTGTAAAATTATTGGTCAAAATAGATTTGAAATTTTGGGCACCCCTAAATATAATATTCGGGCGTTCAGGTATAATTTTATTTAATAATTCATCTTGTTTAAGAAGGTGCCAATGTTTTTTTATAACTTTTTTAACATTATTACTCTTATTATTGAAATTAAAAATAATCGGTAGAGACATTTCTGTGTCCGTGGCTTTGGGTTTGTATTTTAAAAGTTCATTTCTATCTTTCTGTTGAATTTCCATGATAGTAGTTTCTAATTCTATCTTTGAATAATTTTTTTCAACAAATTTATCTTTTAGGAGGTTCGCTTGTATCTCAAAGTCTCTAAGTTCTGAGCAATTCCTCCTAAGTCTCAGTATTTGACTTTTTGGGGCGCTGTCTAACCATGGTTGGTAATGACAGCTATTTTTATCAATAGCAGTGTTGACACAAACCTTTTTAAAAAAGGTTTTTGTATGTACTTTACCATTTTCTATAAAAATGTCAAGGTCTAAAAAGTTGATTTTTTCTCTACTAAATTCGTGGGTGAGGATTATACCTCTATTATTACGATTGAGATTAGTGATAAAAGAATTTAGGGCTTCTTCGGTTCCATCCCAGATAAAAAAAAGATCATCAATATATCTAAAAAAGGAGACCAGGTTCGCTCTCCACGCATGATTACTAAAAATGGCTTCTGACTCCCAGTCAGCCATAAATAAGTTTGCATAGCTGGGAGCAAACCTGGTCCCCATAGCAGTGCCTCTTTTTTGCAGATAAAAAGAATTTAAAAACCAAAAATAATTATTATTTAAAATAATATTAATACCTTCTAAGATAAACTTTATTTGTTGACCAGCAATTTTCCCTTCTTTAGTTAAAATATCTTTTACAGCTTGGCAGCCTATATCATGAGGTATAATGGTATATAGTGACTGAACGTCGCAAGTCACCAATATAAAACTAGATTTCCATGTAAAATTATTTAAAAAGTTTAAAAGAGCCATGGAATCTTGGAGATATGATCTCATGAGTTTGACTGAAGGTTGTAAAAGAATATCTATATACTGAGAAAGATTACATAAAAGGGAACCTATGCCTGATACGATTGGTCTTCCAGGTGGGGAGGTTTCACTCTTATGGATTTTCGGAAGGAAATAAATTACAGGTGTTATGGGATATTGATTGTTTAAAAAGTTGAATTCTTGTTTGTTTAAAATACCTTGCTCCACACCTTTATTTAAAAATTCAATAAAAACATTTTGAATTTGTTTTATGGGGTCTGCTGTGAGTTTTTCATATACTTTTACGTCATTTAATTGTCTAAGTGCCTCATCTATATACATTTGAGTTGATTGAATGACTATTCCTCCACCTTTGTCTGCTGGTTTGATGACAATATTTTCATCATTTTGGAGTTCTTTTAAGGCTAACTTTTCTGAGTGAGTTAAATTGTGGGGGTCATATTTGTTATTTGTTATTTTTTCTAAGTCTTTTGTAACAAGTTTTTCAAACATAGTGAGGGGAGCAGATTTGTAGTGGGCAGGATAGAAGGTGGATTTCTTTCTAAGAGGAGTATTGATAATGTTATTATTACAGGAAGGTATTGGTGAAGATTGAGTAGCATTTTGTTCGGTTTTATCCATAAAAAATCTTTTAAGAGTCGCTTTTCGAACGAATTTGTTAATATCAATAAAAGCTTCAAAGGATTTAAAAGTATTGGTGGGGGCGAACTTAAGACCTTTAGTTAAAACCGCTAAATG